AAATGAGGCTGACTTCTTCTACAGGTTCCCACAACTGAATGCAGGGAAATGATAACCTCCAATCCACAAGAAATGATGTGAGAGTGATTGCTGCTTGTGAGCTGTACTCTGCTATGTTCTCCCTGACTCCTCCAGCATCTCAGATGCTGCAAAGAATAGAATCCATGCTGGGAAGGAAGCCATGGAAGGAGGGAGGGAGGCAGGTGGGAGAGAAAAGAAAGAGAAAAACTGTGTTCTTCCCTGTTTCAGGAGCTCCATGGGGTTTGGAGCTAAACACAAATGGTTGGGAACAGCATGACCTTGAAGCCCACAAATTGTCCAAATCCTTGTCCAATCCATCTGTTTGCAGAGCAGAGATGAGAGATGTGAGCACACAGTCCCGTATTATTCAATGCTCCCCAATCCCCATTTTAAAAACTGGTGTTGTCAGGATGGTCCTGGATAAAGGTGAGGACTCACTTCTCCCATGGGAGGTGGAGATCCAGGAAAAAGAAAAAAAGCTCTAATTACTACAATTATTGTGTTTATACTATGAACAAGGTACTTACTAGTCTCTAGAACTTGGAGCAAGGACAAATAAACATTCCTTATCAGGACCAGCTCCGCAAGATGACTGCTTTGCTTAGGATCACGGAGCAGAGCCAGGCCCAGGGTGAGGTCAATGAGACACTTGCTTCAGGTGTAAATTTAAAGGGATGGGGGCGGGGGGAGAAGAATCTAACCCCAAAACAAACAAAAACTTGCAGTAACTAAAACCGATGATATTTTTATACAATATTTTTTAAAAAAATATTAAAAATCTAAACCCACAAAGAACCAAATATCAATTTTAAATCTTAAATAAAGGCAGGATCCAACTCGATACTTGCCTGACTCACTTTGTTCGTCTCACCCTAATCCTGGCTGGGACTGGAGCCAGAATTCTTCACGTCTGGCCAGCTCGGGAGGGAGCACGTGCCATCTCCCTTTCCTTCTCCCCACCTTCCAGGAGGCTGACCAAGCCTCAGCTATGCAAACCTTAAATGATGACATGCAAGCAGAGGAAAACCTCAAAATGCTTCTCAAAAAACCTTCAGCTAATCTAGTTTTGTGGCTCTGCTTGCTGGACCAGGTGGGCAAGACCACCAAAAATAGCCCCTTCTCCACGCTTTAGGGCTGAGTGGTATTAAGTGGACGGGGAGGTGCGACTGGGAGGTAGGACCAGGTGGAAGGAAGTTGGTAAGAACAATGCCACTGCAAGGTCCATCTTCATTTCCAAAATCACGTCAGGAGTGAGATGTGAGCTCTAGAGCTAGGCCACTTCAAAGTTGTCCATAGTAAGCCTTTCTCACCCTAGGAGACCTTCTTGCAAACCTCTGTTGTGAACAGACTGGTATCCCAGGCACTTTTATACCCATCAAGAGATAACCCAACCCATCACACTCAGAAGGGTGGAGGGACAGACAGCATCAGATAGGAAGATCCTGATGAGATGGATTGACACAGTAACTAGGGTAATGGGGGAAGGTGTGCTGGAGTCAGTGAGATGGGCTCAAGATTAGAGGAGGCTTCAGAGCTGTTGTACATAGGGTCGCTATGAGTTACAGGTGACTCCATGGCACAAAACAACAATAACAAGAGACAGGGCATCCAGCATGGAAGGCAGGCTCAGAGGGTCATCTGATGGTGCCTCTAATCATCTTGCCTTCCCCACTCCTAAAGAAGAACTGGCTTCCTACCTGTCGTGGTGGGTGATCTTGGATCTCCTAAGACTCTGTGTCCCTTAAGAGGCTGAAGTAATTTCAGAGAACAGGATAAACAGGAGCTAGAAATTGAAGCAAGAGCTTCGAAGAGAAATAGGAAGCTAGTGGTTACAGTGTTGGAAAGAGACTTTTGGACACTCCAGTGTTGATTGTGGGCAAAACCAAACCTCTTGTATATGACATTGCCCTGTTCCACTCATTCACTTTCCCACTCTTGAGGCCTCTGAGCTGCTCAGAGAGCTATGGCTTCCTCTGTGGAGCAGATGCCTTGACGGCTGCAGGCAGGGGTAGGGTCTTAGGGAGACAGACCTGCCCTCTGCGGTGCAGGTGGAGGCTCAGAGAGGGTTCACTCCCCATTGCAGGTGAACTCAAAGCCTTGACCTTCCTCTCCACAAACCTCCCCACCACCACCACCACACTCCATAGGCTTTTTCTCCAAGGGTAGGGTGGGTCCTTTGAGATCATCAGAAAGGAGGCTACTGAAATGCCAATTCCTTGACTCCTTCCCTTTAAAAAGACTAGAGCCCAAGTGTGTGCACAAACCTTTCACATTCTCAACAGGTCAGGATTTTAAAAAACCCAGACAAACAAGAAATCCACCCAGAGGGTGGAGGGAAACAACGGAAGAGGCACCAGGTACAGCACGAAAACCCTAAAACCCTAGGTCGTGAAACGCCCCTAGTGTCACATTCAATGAAAGAGGAATCCTACTGTGCATCCCAAATGAAATCAACCCCAAGGGATATTTTTCTAGTAGATGATTCTAAGTTGATTTCATTGTTAATAGTCTTGGGCGCCAAGAATCAGCGAGCCAGGTTAGGACAGGAGGAGCTCTTGGACTCATGCTCTCCTTCCAATGTGAGTTTCACTCAGGCCTGAGCCCCAGCTGAGCCTGTGGCCTTCACTGAGCTGTGGTCACCAGAGGCTTGACTTTCCCTGAGCTGGGGATTCAAACCGGACCCCGACACCCCGGGGCCTAAAAAGCTCCTGGCCCAGCAGCTGCACAGCCCAAACACCGGGTGCAGCGCCCCGCCCCGAGGACAAGGCCTGCGGATCCTTGTCCAAGGGCGGAAAGGCCTTTCACAGGTCGGCAAAAGTGGGGACGGTCACCCCACGTCTCAGGTGCCGGTGGGGAGGTCAGGGTCTGCAGGTGTTGTCAGCAAAGGCCTGCAAAGCGGGGGTGGGGTGGACGAGAGGTGCAGCGGGAAGCGGCCCAGGCTGGAGGCCGGCGGAGAGGAGCTGGGCAGCTCAGCACCAGCGGTTCACGTCCCCGGAGCCACACAGAGGGGCCAGCGGCCGCAAGGGCCTGCGCCCCCACCCCGCCCTCCGCCTCCCCGACAGCTTGCAGCCGGCCGGCCAATGGTCCCCAGGGAGCCGCCTTGCGCGCCCCCAGCCTGGCCGCTGGCGGGACCGCTTTCAATCTGCCGGCGAACGCAGGCGGGGAGCGCGGAGAGCCGGGCGCGAGGCCACCGCCGGCCTCGCCCGAGGGAGGAGAAAGTTTCTGCTCCACCCGGCGGCGGCCGGGCCTCCAGTTGGGGGCACGAGTTGGAACTGTGTTCAGGGGTAATGTCCTGGGGCCCGGTGGACAGGGCTGCAGGCGCGAGGCCTCCGCTCCGTCGTCCCCAGCTGCACCGCGGACCCTGGGCGCGCTCCCCGGGGCTACACGGGGATCCGCGGCCCTGGGCGCCCTCCGTCTAGCCGCCGCCCTGGGCCTCCGAAAGGCGTGGGATTAGAGCACTGTGTTGGGACAGGGTGGCGACGGGGTCGCCATTCACAGGGGAAAACCCTTGTTTCCAGCATTGCCAAGAAAATACATCCCCGATGAGCTCGGGCTTCACGAGAAAAAGACCTTTGGAGACGTCTGTCTGCTCTCCCGGAACCCCGTGCGGTTTGTGTCAGAGGTACAGAACCACCTGTCTCTGGGGACACCAGTGCGGGAGGGGTCGTGGCTTGGGTAGGGGTGGGCACTGTCTTCTTTGTCCTTTGCCCCATGTCCTTTGGACGACATGGATTTCTGGGGGTCCCTCAGCGTCCTAGACCTTCCGACCGACCTGCCCCCCTTCTCCACTCGCCCAGGTGAAGGCTCCGCCAGGCCGGGATGATCCAGAGGGCAGAGGGCGAGGGCTGCGAAAGGCCCTGCACAGGAGACAGCGAGAACGCAGCGGGAGCGTCCTGAGACGACACAAGGAAAATGATACTTCCTTCCCTCCAGCAAGAAGCGGGTTCGCACAGTCACAAGCGCTTCTTTCTTCGCTGAGTTTAGTGGCTTTCTGTTGCCAGAGGAAGTAAAGCAGGAAGGAAAAAGATCTGTGACAGCTCTACTGACAAAGAACGTGAACGACTGCGGGAGAGGGTCAGGGGAAACTTACACACCGCACATCCCAAACACGGCGCGCGGAGCCGGGCTGCAGTCCCCGCCCCGCCGGCGCGGACCCCCCCTCGGCTAATCACCCTCATTAAGAGCTTCATCACCGGCCTAATGAAAGCAAACCGTGTGGAAATCGCCGGTAAACAGTTGGGTCTGTGCTGTAATTAATTCAGTGTCTCTTTTAATCAAACTGAAAGGGGATCGGGCAGCGGCTTGCAGAGCCGTGACATCACCCCCAAAATCGGCCGGAGCCAATCAGCGCCATCACTCCGGGGACACGTGGGCGAGTCCCCTTAAAAAAAATTCCACACACACACACACAACGAGAAAAAAAAAAAGAAAGAAAGAAACAACAACAAAAAAAAACCCCAGCCCCAAAGTAAAAGTGACACAAGTTCATTTTTTCGAGGAAGGGGGGGAGGCGGAGCGCGCGCAAGACCGGCCGGGCTGCGCGCGGAGCCGAGGGCGCTGTCCGCGGTGCTGACGGCGCGCACCGCCGGGGGCTCCGCGCAGCCTCTCCCGCCAGGTGGATGGAGCCGCGCGCCGCGGGCTGAGCCGCCGCTGTCCGCGGTGCTGACGCCGCCAGGTGCGCTCTGCCTTGCCTCCCGGGACCGCTGCGCGGGCGCGGCGCTCTCCACGGTGCTGACCCCGCCGCCTTCGGCCACCGCTCTCCTGCAGCAAGCGTGGGCTTTGGATTTTTTAAAAGCCGCTCTTTATTTAGATTCCAACATCCTCGCATTTCTTCCGTGCCAAAGAGGCACTCAAGCCGTCCGTCTCCTCCACTCTCCCCCAACTTGACGCGCCCTCCCTCTCCTTTCTCCCTGACACTCCCACCACCCCCCCTCGGCTCGGTGGCTCGGCGGGCGATGCCGCAGAAGACGCTCTGAGCCCTCTTGGATCTAATGCGCAGACAAGGTTGGCCCAGAGCTCCCGGGCTCCCCCAAGGCTGAACTCTGTCCAAGGTGCCCGCAGGCTCCCTGCCCGCCTTCCCCATGCCAGCCCGCAGCTAGGGGCAGGGGCAACGTCGGCTGGGGTTGAAGGTGGGTGGGGAGCTTTTGGGGAGGACAGGTCGCAGCTTGGCTATGGAAGGCTCCAATGGCTTTGGGATCGACTCCATTCTCTCCCACCGTGCGGGCAGCCCCGCCCTTCCCAAGGGGGACCCCTTGCTCGGGGACTGCCGCTCTCCCCTGGAGCTGAGTCTGCGCTCGGAGAGCAGCAGCGACTGCTCTTCACCAGCCTCACCGGGAAGGGACTGTTTGGAGACGGGTGCCCCGCGACCTGGCGGGGCATCAGGCCCAGGTTTGGACTCGCACCTGCAGCCCGGGCAGCTCTCTGCCCCAGCCCAGTCGCGTACAGTCACCTCCTCCTTTTTGATCAGGGACATTCTTGCCGACTGCAAACCACTCGCGGCCTGTGCACCCTACTCCAGCAGTGGGCAGCCCGCTGCCCCTGAGCCTGGGGGCCGCCTTTCGGCTAAAGCTGGAGAGGACTTTAGAGACAAGCTGGACAAAAGTGGCAGCAACGCTTCTTCAGACTCCGAGTATAAAGGTAAGAAAACCGGATGTGAAAAACTGGACGGGGGAAGGAGGGATGCTATATTTCTAAAAACTGATATTTTAAACTTGCTTGCACCCATGTGGAGACTTGCACCTTGAAGCTCCATCAGGGACCTGGCTGAGCCTTTGGACCTCCATAAACCTTTTAGCCAGACCTGTGGCTTTGCCTCCGGGTAACACAGAGTAGAGGTGGAAAGGGGGAATGTCATTCTGGGCGTCTAGGGAGGTCCTCTCAAATGCACAAAACAAACTTTCTAAACTCGGGCTAGGACCCTTCCTCCCAACAGTACTGATGGGTAGTGGTGTGTTCCTATCTGTACAGTGTTACTCCAAGACGTGACCCTTGCAGAAGCAACAGAAGACCCGAAGGGTTCTGCTTGAACACCTTCTTATAAGAGTAAACACCTAGCATGAGATTTCAGCTGGAGCCCTGAGAACAGCCAGAATTTTCCATCTTTTAATCTGAATTTCCAGATGGGAAGAGGCACTGGGGTCTCCCTCCCATTGGGCCCAGTGTGCTCTGGGCCTGATGAATCATGCAAAAGAAATGTTCATTTCGAACAAGAAACAACAGCCAGGTGGTTGACTTGGAGCAGGTTCAGAAGTCTGATGAAGAGGACCCCACATCCGACCATGGTCCTCCCTGAACTTGATTTTGAGTGGGCTGAGCAATAAGCTGCAGATTGTGTGCAGGACTGAGACATTTCCCAAGTCATCAACCTCGAATCCCCTGTGCAGGGCGTTCGTTGCTTCTCCTTCACTGGCCCTTTCATGTCTGTTAATATTTTTATAAAAACCAAGATAACAAATGGTTCCCTTTTTTGTACCCATCTCAGTTTAATTAGGAAGCTGAGATTAAATTAAGATGAAAGGGAGAAGGAAAAAAGGACTTTCTCCTGTAATTGTCTTTCTTCCGTCTGGCTCCTATGGTGCCCTAAAGGCTCTTTGCTGGGGACAGTGGCACAAAGTTCTTTCTAGGAAGAAGTCAGATGGTTAGAGGAAGTGATACCTCAGCTTTAAGGGAAAGAGCACCCCATTGAGCTTGATCCCCATTGAGCAGAAAACTAGGGTCTGGCAGAAACTGTTCAGAGTTCTCATTTTAGCCATGTAATTAATTCCTAGAACTCTTTCAAGGAAAGAAATTTCCCTTTAAAAGCTAATTCTTGATTGCTGTCGGCCCCACATTTCCTGGCCCCTATTTTTTCCAAGGCAGCTTCACAGATTTTTTTGGAAGGCTTTGGAAAACATCTTCCTTCCAGCCAAGAATTTGTTTTAACATACTCCACATAGAAACCCAACTGGGGCCCCACTGCCTATAAACGTCTTATTCCCCTGCACTTCTCAGGCAAAGGGCCTTTTCAGGCTGTGGCAGACACTGCCTAGAAAACAGGCCGGTTGAGCAACAGCACCCAGAAAGGAGGCCTGGAGGAATGGGAGTGCGGGAGGCCCTCCTGCCTTGGCCCAGTGACCCTTGCTCCTCCCCCTGGAGCCTTTCAGAGCAAGGCAGAGAAAACTTGCCCAGGAGAAAGAAAGGCACGTATATGTGCAATGAAGGAAGTGATGTAAATATATATACACTTATATGCATCATGTTTTATTATTTACAATTTTCACCTGCAACAACAAAATAGGCTAGAAGCAAGACTGTCCAACCTTGTGCTAGGAGCCCTTGTCAGTGATGATGGAGGAGTATGGAGTTTACCTGCTTTTATGTCTTTACCCCCAGGGCGGATTTTGAGGAGAGGTTTCTTCGTTTAAGATAGTTGTGATATCACTTTCTTTCTCCTGTCCCTGATAATATCTGATCAGTGAGGCGACAAGGGCCAAGGGCCCACTGTCCACATATTGCTTAAATGAGTTTGGAGGGAGAGGGGTGGAAGGATCCCCTCCTCCTCCCAGACTCTGAGGTCTTGGCATTTAGAATGCCCTGGGGTGGGGGGAGAATGGACAAGTCAGCCCTGGTTTTCATTAAGCAGGCTGGCTACTTAAAAACCAACCAACCAGCCAAGCACCACCACCACCAAAAAACCCCAAAACAAAAACAAGTTAGATAGTCCCTAAGGACAGACAGGCAGGGTAGGCCTAAACCCCTCTCCCCACATCTCCCACACCAACAATCGTAGGTGCAGGGAAGAACAGGTTCATCTGCTTATCAAAGGCTCTTAAAAAAGCTGAAACCCTGCTCTGAAGGAAGGGAGTCCACCTTCACACTATGGCCATAGGCCAGGCCATCGGACTGCAGGCCAGTGGAGAAAGCCTTGCTTTTAAACCAAGCAGGCAGGTGTGTGGACCTTGAACTTCCTGTCCTTCAGATGTAGCTTCTGGGCCAGGAATTTACAAAACTGAGGTCTCATCGAAATTAGCTCTCCAAGGAGGCTGAGGCTGAACTCCTGAGAGTGGGCTGGGGGAAAAGGCCTGCAGTCAACCTTCTTTCTGATAAACGGAAACCCAAATATCCTCCAGCGCACCTCAAGCTCAGCTTAAGTTCCGGAGTTTCACAAGTAACCTGGACAATTAGGTGAAAAAACTGTTTTCCTGCAATATCAAGTTTGAGCATGGCTTATCCAGGTCATTTCTTCTGGGCGCTTGTTTTGACTTTACCTCGCCTGCATAGAACTCGGGTTTTCCCCAACCCAACAGGTCCCACTTCCCGGCTAAGCCTCTAGGGTCAGTCGGCGGGAACTCTGGGCTCCAGGCGCGCGGTGCGGGTGCCAGGGCCCTCTCCCCACTCGCCCCGCAATGGTGCTTGCGCCCTCTCTGCTGAGAACCGCGGTCTCTGGTTGAAAAGTCTCGCTCCCCAGCGGCTCAATTAACCGGATTATTGTTTTCTATAGAAAGGAATCAACTCGTATTCAGCTGAACCCAGTCCCTGCAAAACGTGGGGCACAATGAAACGCACCATAAAGGAAAACAGAGGGGCAAACGGGGAGGGGCGGCCCCCAGGGCGAGTCGCTAATTTGGAGGAAGCGTCCCCTTCAGTAACCCTTAAGGGGAAGAAGGGAGAGTCTGAGCTTGCTCTTTCAAGTGCGTACAGTTCTCTGCAACGAACATGTTTGGGGGAAAGACATTATGCCTGTCCTGTCTACCCCTGAGAGTCCTCTTGTCTGGGGCTGTAGGACGTTGACCTATGACAGGCGCGCACGGAGGGCCACAGCTGACGCTGCGCACTGGGACCTCGGCGAAGGGCAAACGCGCTGAGCCGCCGCTTGATTTCTCCCAGGGCCGCGCGCTCCGCGTTTCCGCACTTGCGCCTCTCGGCCAAGCCTCCCAAACAGCCCAGGTTGTGGGCAGCTTCTTTAGAGACATAAACATCACTATACATCCGTATCCACCTCGGAGGGATGGCAAAATGTGGGCAAAACGATCTGTTTATTTGTTCTTTGGGACACTGAATCGGTTTGAGGTGAGAAGGTTCTGTCTCTCCACACGGGTTTTTCTCTCTAGATTGAGGAGGCCTTCTTCAGCTTTAGGCTCAGAGCACAGACCCGCAACCCTGAGCACGCACTCATTAGCCCACCCTGCTGGCACCCCTAGAACTCTCCACTCGCAGGGGGGTCGGTCTTGGCCCGCTCCCCAGGTTCGTTGTCTTAATCCCGCCGGGAAGGCAGACAGCAGCGCAGGAGCACCGCGGAGAGAAAGCGTGGCGGGAGTTCTCCCGATTTTATCTTCTTTTTTCGGCTGTCGCCAACGTCTCCGTGAGCCAAGGTTTCCATACTTGTTTTGGAAACCCAGGGCTCAAGAGCGGCTTTTCTGCAGGGCCAAAGCGATCGTGAAATTAACCAAACGCAACGGGCCAGCAGCTGGCCCGGGGTGGAGCATGTGAGTGGGCGCGTGGGGGTGACGAGGCCGGGTCCTGACGCTCCGCTGTCCTTCTGCAGTGAAGGAGGAGGGCGACCGTGAGATCTCCAGCTCCCGGGACAGTCCCCCGGTGCGCCTGAAAAAGCCGCGCAAGGCGCGTACCGCCTTCACCGACCATCAGCTGGCGCAACTGGAGCGCAGCTTCGAGAGGCAGAAGTACCTTAGCGTGCAGGACCGCATGGAGCTCGCCGCTTCGCTCAACCTCACCGACACGCAGGTCAAGACCTGGTACCAGAACCGCAGGTGAGGCATGGCTGCCGCTGGCAGGCGACAAGGGGCCATTCTCCTCTTCCCACCTTTCCAGGAGACCTAGAGGCCAGGGACAAGGGTTCCCTGGGCCGCCCCCATTCTGTAAGACGAGGAAGAAGGCCATGTCCAAAGTCTTACAATGAGGGCCACACGCATATCTAAACCAGTCTCCGTACACATGGAAGCTCATATCCTAGATAGCGGTGCGGAGGTATCGCGAAGGGAGGTGAGGCCGGTGCCTCGCTAGGTCGGCCCCAACCCTAATCCTGTGGCCGCTGAGCCCTGTCGGTGGAAGTCCCAGGCCAGGCAAGGGGTTGGCGGGTTAGAAGAGGGATGTCCAGGCAGGCAAGTGGCCCTGAAGTGACACAGTTTGGGGCCCTGTCCCAGCAGTTTCTGCTAGTACATCAGTTTTGCACTGGGCCTTTCGCTGTTCCCTAAAGGCTCTCGAAGTCCTGAAAAGTCGCAGGACACTCGGTCTGGGGCCTGGCCGAGTCCTTCCTTGGAAAAGAAGTGATCTAAAATCTGTTTTCAAAAGGGTGTGTGTGTGTGGAGGGGGAAACTGCACTGATCTTGAACCTGGTTTTCCCTAATCTCCCTCTCCATAAGGGCAGATGCACGCCCTACAACCCTACAACCCCCACCCCCCCCAATCCTCGCACTCAGTCACAGGAACATTCATACACGCACACAGGCCCGCAGACCCTCACAACAACTACACCCAACAGAAGTGGGAATGGTGCTTTCCATAAACAAGCCTCTAAACACATAACCCCATTAATAATAAATACTGATTACTGCTTCGGGCATCAATTATTAAGGTCCGTTACAGTAATTATACAATTATGATGATGATGAATAATTCAGAGAGGGAAACGGGGATGGCGTGGTCGAGCTTGCTTTGGAGGGACCCCGACCCACCATCTGAGCATTAGGGGCCGGCCCTGCAGGCAACGAGTGTGGCCTAGACGCCTAGGGACCAAGGACTGGCTGGTCTCCAGTCCTTTCTGGACTCCAGTGCCAGAGGGGATTCAGGGCTCGCCCAAGGCCTTGGAGCTGGCCTTGGGGCCCAGTAACTGCGCGCCAGGGCCAAGGGCAGCGGGCACAGGTGAGTGGATAAGATAGAGACCAGGAGGGTGTGCGCGCCCACGAGGTTCCTCTCAAAGCGCCTTCTGCAGGGCACGCTCACTTCGCTTTGCTCGCTTCAGCTGGATCTGGGGCCGGGGTGAGGTTTCTAAGGCGTCTCCAGGTACAATCCGACTTAGAAGCAGGTTCAGCTGCTGCTTTGTAGGCCTTTCTTAAAGGCTAGTTTCATGCCTCAGTTGTCTTGTCTATGAAATGGGAGTAATAGCTCTGGAAGGCCAGTGGAAAGATTAAACGACATCATGCAGACAGAGCACGACCACTTGCCTAGCACACCGTTATTGATCAATAATAAATATTAATGAAACGGTATAATTCCTCCTTGCCTCCCCTCTGGGCCAGGGAGTTGGGAGGAACGAGGATCGCCAGGCACTCTAGCTCTGCCTCTGACATGAATGTTTGTTTCGTATCCCAGGACTAAATGGAAGCGACAGACGGCCGTCGGTTTGGAGCTGCTGGCAGAGGCAGGCAATTACTCAGCGCTCCAGCGGATGTTCCCGTCGCCTTATTTCTACCCGCAGAGTCTGGTTTCCAACCTGGACCCCGGCGCGGCGCTCTACCTGTACCGCGGGCCCAGTGCGCCGCCGCCCGCGCTCCAGAGGCCTCTGGTGCCGCGCATCCTCATCCACGGACTCCAGGGCGCCAGCGAGCCGCCCC